AGATGTAGTTTTTGGATGACAGTGAGACCATCGCATTACCTGTCCATTCGTCCTTGAATAGACCAGGCGTTCGTCGATCAAACTTCGCTACCTCATCGTTATAGTCTCGTGGGAACCACTCATATTTATGCTTTCGGAATTGGTCGCGTAGCTCAGGCTTGATACAGTTTTGAAACGGATTTTCGCAACTGAACGCCATGTAAGCTGAGTCGGTATCCATTTCTTGGTATTGGAAATCACTACGATCAAAGTAGAAGTCAATACAGTCGTAGTAGAACTGTAGCATGAGCAGCTTGGCTAGCTGATAAATAGCGATACTGAGATGAATAGGGTTCTTGTTTTTGAGGCGACGCTTCTTCATCGTAATCTCACAGGAACCGTTGAGCTCCTCTAGTCCATGGAACGTGAAGTGCTCAATCTTGGACTTAACTGCCTTATCATCTGATTCGTACTTGACTTCCTTATGCTTGCTCATATCCATGCCACTACGCCCGAAAGCGCTATTTCCTACAAGTTTCATCATCTCTGCAATCATAGCCTTAGACTTGTCAGCATCGCCCTCTCGTCGAGCATTTGAAACAGCTTCCATGAATGGAGCGAATGCCTTGTGAGAGCTGGCCTTGATGAAGCTTTAAGTCTTGGTGATTTCCATTCCATGGGAGAGATACCACTTCAGCAATGGAGTGTATATGAGTATCTTCTCTCCGAAATAGCTTCCAATGAGCTTGCGAGCTGGTTTGGATCGGCTTTGCTTGCGTGCCTCATTGAATTTGAACATGTGCGATCCGACAATCGTCTCATCGGTGCAATCGATCAAGGCATTTTTGAAGATTGGGGTCATCTCACTGAAATAGTCTTTCAAGTGATCGGGCGTACGAATATCACACTCAAGGAAACCGAAGATCTGCTTGGCCTTGATGTCATCGATGATGCCTGGATAGGCTTCGATCGTAGTCAATCGTCCGCATGGCATCTCATTACCAAGTGCCCACAAATATAGCGCGTTGGCGTCGTATCCAATGATCTTCTTACAAATCTTTCCACCTCGAATCTTCGTCTCGTTGCGCTTGGCATATCGGTTAAAGATAATTGATGGGCCACCAGCAATATTAGCCTTCATCTTAGCGTAGATTTCTTTCTCCTCCTTATCAATGCTATAAACGAGCCTGTCTGAGTTGAACTCGAGGAGCTTCTTGTACCGAAACCCTTTCAATGACATATCTTTACGAGCAACGTTGCACTCGACACAACTGACCAAGATGTTGCCATCGATATGACCCAACTTATTATTAATCCGGTCGGCCGAGGCCGTCTCGACACTCAATTGCGTGCTACATAGTCCACAAAGATATTTCTGTTGATGTAGCAGTTTGTCTAGGTGTTTGAGACTCATATTGAACTCGCGGTTAGCGCAAGCATCCTGGCTCTTGTACCCAGCTAAACGTTTAGCTGGGAAACTGAATGCT